GACCCTGGAGAACCTGTACAGCTCAGAGCACCTTAACAGCAGAGTGGACTGCCTCTTGTCTAAAAATGCGGAACTCTGGTTAAAGCCTTTTCAGGAGACAGGATATTAATAATGCCTCTCCCCCATGTGGATTCTCTGATGTCCAACAAGAGATGGACTCACAATGCATTATTTCCTTTGCAGAAGTCTAATAAAGTTAATGAAGTCTTTCTCCTCTGCTTTCAAGAAACTTACCCTATATTCTTGAAGTGCATGAGTAATAAATATTTTTGAGGTTTCAGCACTTCAAATTTTATCAGAAGTGATGAAAATGTCCCAAATGTATTGTGGAGAAGTGCCAGACAGGCAGATGCTCAGAAGTACACAGAATGTGTTCACGAAATTTTATTTTCTCACAAAATGAATCTCAAAATCTTGACTAATTTTGCACATTTCTTAAAACTGAATGGCTTGTAATGATGTCTTTGTTTCAGTGAAGTGCTAATAAAAGTGAGGTGGGATCTAACAGACTTACACCTGGTTTATTCTTGACTTAAGATCTCTTACTGAATTTCATAGGAACTAGGATGTAAGCACATCCTAGAGCTCTAGTGTCACTAAGGCTATTAGACACGCATACTGTCCAGCAGTCAGGGGTCCATATCTTTGGCAGAAAAGCTAAAAATATTTTATGTTTCTTCTGCATCAAAACCACTGTGAAAAATTAAAATCCTCATATACACATATATGTGAGCACATACGCTTTTCCATTAGTGCTCAAAATGGCCTTTCCAGGTGATGTTTATATACTGAAAGGGACTCTAGGAAGGGAATTTGTACCATGTATTTCAAGAGATCACCTAAGCAGCACTTGATAGTAGTTGAACTGTGTCAAACAGAAACAAGTTGCTGACATCTCTGACTGACTGAAATTTGTCTGATAAGATTTGGTATTACTATTGTCTTTCAGGTATTACAGATGTTAAACCTTTATAGAAGTGTCCAAGGTTCTCTTTCTGGCCCAAGTAACCTGAAATGTGAAGAGGTAACTAGTTCCAGGGGTTAACTGGGCTGGACCATTAGCATACGAATTATTCTTTCAGGGTATATGAAGAGTACTGCTTTTAAAGGGAGAAATGAAATGCCTTAGTAAACTAGGAGAAAGAATGAAAGAATGAAAACACTTATCTGCATTAAAGCTGTGAGGTTCCAGTGCCAGACACCATCAGTGTTATAGCCCTGCACTTGAGTAGAAAAGCTGCTGTGAGGTCAGAGCTTCCCTTACTAAAATCCCATAGTGAATAGAGGTTTGAGGTGTGTAAAGTAATGTATGATCCGCCATGCTCATAGCCTGATGATGCAAGGATACTCAGGTTGTAAGTGAATTACATCTGACCTATCTCTGCACTTGACTATCTATGTTGATAATTTGGGCTTTTGATAAATTCACTGCTTCGGTCTTGGGAATGGTAAGGAATTGGGTAAAGTTAGTACTTAAAAAAAGGAATTAAATGACTAGTGCCAGGGAAAGATCAGGAAAGCATTACGAAAAATAAAGAAAAGCTTTCAAAAAATGCACAGAAATAGACAAAAGTTTTGCCAATGAAAGACGGAAAGAGACCAATATCTTCCTGTGTGAGACAGCCCTGCCTAAGAAAATAGTGGGTTATTTCCTTGGAGATCTGTTGGATGGATTAAATCAGCCTTTGCAGAGTAAGCCCTCTTGAAAATTGCCTTTTATGGATTATCATTACCTCTGCTCTGGATTCAGTTACAACTAGTTCTTTAAAGACTGTAACCATAACAGAGATGTTCTTACATTTAACACCATTCTAGGAGTCAGTTTCATTTGGAGGCATACACCTCTTTAGCCTAGCTCTTCTTAAGCAATACCAAACTAGTACAGCTTCCAGGGCTGGGGAGCACAGAGCAGGTAGGATGGATCCTGAGCTGCTTGGAAAGGTGAAAACAAGAGAACAACACTCAAATGAAGCAAACCACATAAATGAAGCTCATGATGGTACAGGGGTAGCAATTTTTTTTTGGTTGAAACCTTGTTATGGCTGTATTATTCAAGAAAAAGGTGTACAAAGGGCAACAAGTTTATTACACTTCACCCAGAGTTCCCTTTTTTCTGTTACAGTGAAAAAAATATCAGTCAAATTAATATAGGCGAAGCTTAGTAAAAACTGCCACAAATACCTGGAGAAATGTGTGCCTGCAAATGTTTCCTGCCTATGATTTATAAAATGTAAGGTGAATGGAGCGAGCAAGCACATTACATGTTAGATCTAATAATTCTTTTCAATAAAAGTAGTTCCTAAACAAGCCTAGTCAAAATCTAAGTTGCACTGTACATAAGCACAACTGATAACAAGCAGCTTTAGCCCAAAGTTTAGCCAAACACAAAAGACAAAGGCTAAACGAAAGTAGTGTTAGTTATCCTGAGTTTGAACTGTAAGCACATAGGTACATAACTGACTTTAAAGACCTGAACAGTCTCACAGATGCTCACAAAACTGGTAGTGACTTAACACCCAACCCATGTTTCAATGTATGTAGTACTGAGGACAGGTTCAGATGCAGAGACACTTTCCTTATGGCCTTTGTCATTGCTTGGTGAGTTAGGCATAAACTACCTGCGTGGATCATGAGACCTACCTTCCCCACACAATTTTTGACAATGCAAATGATTAAGGGGTAATTTTTGTCCTGACATAGTCCCATCCCATTTTACACATTTGTCCTGGTTTTGTCTGGGATAGAATTAATTTTCTTCCCAGTAGCTGGTACAGTGCTGTGTTTTTGGATTTAGTGTGAGAATAATGTTGATAACACACGGATGATTTAGTTGTTGCTAAGTAGCGCTTATCCTAAATTAAGGATTTTTCAGTTTCCCAGGCTCTGCCAGCAGGCGGGTGCACAAGAAGCTGGGAGGGAGCATGGCCAGGACACCTGACCCAAAGGGATATTGTATACCGTAGGACATCACTCTCAGTATATAAAGTGGGGGAAGTTGGCTGGGAGAGGTGGATCGCTGCTCAGGCATCAGTCAGACGGTGGTGAGCAATTGTATTGTGCATCACTTGTCTTTTCTAGGGTTTTATTTATCTTCATTATATTGTATTTCATTACTATTATTATAATTTATTTTGTTATTATATTTTATTTTCATTTAAATATTAAACTGTTATTATCTCAACCCATGAGTTTTACTCTTTTTTTTTGATGCTTGTCCCTGTCCTACTCAAAGAGGGAAGGACTGAGCGAGTGGCTGCGTGGTGCTTAGTGGCTGGCTGGGGTTAAACTGTGACAATATTGCAGATTAAACAGCTTCAGAGAATATGCATGAAACTTCACCCAGCACTACAGTCCTCCAAGCTTTGCAGCTGAAGTTAGATTTCCCAGTCACAGAAATTCACTGAAAACCAGGATAAGAGAACGTTAAGAGAAAGGAAAAGGGCAGCAGTAAAGAAAATACAATTTCTCCACAACACCTACAAAGCTAAAGAAAGTTATATTAACTCACTCATACAGTCCCTGGAAGTTGGTTCCCAGGGCAGCTGGAGACAGTAGAATCAGAGCTGCTATCCATCCAACTCTCCTTTTATTTTGTTGGTTTTTGTTTGGGTTTCTGGGTTTGGTTTTTTGTTTGTTTGCTTGTTTGTTTGTTTGTTTGTTTGTTTGTTTGTTGTTTTGGTTGTTCCCCCCCCCCCCC